TACTACACACACACACACTATATATATATATTATATACACACACACTGTACACACAATATATATATATATATATATATATATATATAGTGTGTGTGTGTAGTATATATATATATACACAGTGTGTGTGTAGTGTATATATATATACAGTGTGTGTGTAGTGTATACAATATATATATATATATATATATATATATATATATATATATATATATATATTGTATACACTACACACACACACTGTATATATACTACACACACACTGTATATATATATATACTATATATATATATATATATATATATATATATATATGTGTGTGTGTGTGTGTGTGTGTGTGTGTGTGTGTGTATACATATATACACAGTGTGTGTGTGTAGTATATATATACAGTGTGTGTGTAGTGTGTGTGTGTGTGTATATATATATATATATATATATATATATATATATATATATATATATATATATATACACACACACACACACACTCTCCACACGCACACACACTATATATATCACAAGATGGGAAGTCACTACTCTATTTGTAATAAAAATATTGTTTAGTTATTTAGCCCGTTGGATTAGCCCAACAACCCGTTATTTAGGGTTAGGGCCAATCCAACCTAAAAAGAAAAAATAAAAAACCATTTAGCCCAACCCAATAAATCCACCAACCCTGTAGGGCTAATCCAAAACCCAGCGGGCTGGCCCATTTGACATCCCTACACACAACTAGGAGAGACAGACCAGCTTGTAAAGGTAATGCAACAGGAGTTTGAAATGAGCATGATAGATGAACTAACCTATTTTCTTGGATTACAAGTAAGTCAAACTAAAGAAGGGATTTTTATTTCACAAGAAAAATATGCGAAAAATCTTCTATCAAAATTTGGGCTTGAATCTGCAAAAGATGCTCGTACTCTTTTCTTCACGACTACAAAATTGTTCAAAGATGAAAAAGGAACGTCTGTAGACTCTACTATGTACAGAAGTTTGATAGGCAGTCTACTATACTTAACAGCCAGTCGACCAGATATTATGGTAAGTGTTGGGATGTGTGCACGCTATCAAGCCGATCCAAAAGAGTCACACTTAAAGGCGGTAAAGCGTATTATAAAATACGTTAAAGGTACGATAAATTATGGTATTTGGTACTCGAATGATACTAATCTGAATCTTGCAGGATACAGTGATGCTGACTGGGCAGGAAACGCTGACGATAGAAAAAGTACATCAGGCGGATGTTTCTTTATCGGAAAAAATCTAGTCGCCTGGCTAAGTAAAAAGCAGAACTCGATTTCACTCAGCATAGCTGAAGCTGAGTATATAGCGGCGGGTAGTTGTTGTACACAATTACTCTGGATGGGTCAGATGTTAATCGACTATGGTATAGAACAACAGAGTATGACATTGTTCTGTGACAACACCAGCGCAATCAACATCTCTAAAAATCCAGTCCAACACTCCAGGACGAAACACATAGACATTCGACACCACTTTATTCGTGAACTAGTCGAAGAGAAAGAAATTATCTTGGAATATACTCCAACAGATAAAAATCTTGCAGATCTATTCACCAAGCCTTTAGACAAATCGAGATTTGAACTGCTTAGAGCTGCCCTTGGGGTTTGCAATCCCACAGCTTAATCTACCACACCAGGTACAACAAATAATCTCTAGTTATTTTTTTTCAAACGTGGTTGTTGTTTATTTGTTGCAGGAAAAATAAAATTCTAAACCTCTCCTACTTACTTTTAATTTTCTCGTCATTAAGAACCCTATACCTGCATGTTTCCTTACCCGACTCGGCTACCTTATATATCTATATATTAATTCCACCACTACAAAATTAAAATGTGTATTGAAATATAAATTTCAAACAACTTCCACTACTCTCTCCTAGTATGACTCTACTCCTACCCCTACAAACTTGTCACATCACTCATCCCATCCATCACAACTTTTGAGAAACTCATTAATTAAAAAGACTCCTTGTCTTTCTTGATCTTACTGTAACACCCCGTGTTACGGCCTTCAATCCCGGATTAATTATTAAATTAATCCCGTTAATAATAATTAAATATGATTTAATTCGGTTAGGTTTCCTTTGATTAATTAATAAAGGTCCACCATGAACCGTGGACCCTTGCCTAAATTAGAGTCCTAAGCCTATTAGGAATAAAGAAAGTAAACCCTTTACTATTCAGATTCTAATTAGGAATCCTAGAACTAGTTATCTATTAGGAATAAAGGAAGTAGGCCTTTTACTATTCAGACTACGATTAGGATTCCCTTTAATTAATTAATATGGTCCACTATGGGCCATGGACCCTTATCCCTAAACCCAATCCTTAGTTCCAAAAGGAATAGAATTAGCAAGCCTATAATATTAGTTCCTAACCAGGACTCCTAAATATATAAATAGGGGACTTAAGAGGCACCTAGAACCCCCCACAAGAATAACGCCCCACCACCCCCAAAAGAGCTCCAAGAATCCCCTTAGGAGAAATCAAGAAAGCAAGGAAGCTTAAAGAAATATCCTTCATAGCCAAGGAATTAATTAAGGCTAAGAGGTAACCCATGTCTCAACAAAACCTATTTTCATAGCTATGATTTCCCCTTAGGGTTTCCCCCGTATGATTGTGAATGGCGAATTACTATGATTATTATTGATGTTGATTTAATGATTCCATGGGGAATCTTGATAATCTTGATATTGGGAGTTTCTTGATAATTGTGATGTTCTTGATGATTAATTGGGATTCTTGATGATTATGTGTTGTTCTTGATGATTATGATGTTCTTGATGATTAATTGGTATCCTTGATGATTACGTGTTGTTCCTACCGAATCTTGCAATTAGAAGACGAATCGTATTCTTGTTGATATAAAAGTGATTAGAACCCTAGGTAGTACCGTATGCTTTGATTCTTGGATTATCGGGTGGGAAATCGCATGTTTGGGTGTTGATTATGTTTAGAAAAGCATGATAGGCCATGTGCCGTTCGTTTCCCGTATTTGATCCGTTAATTGTCTACTTGTTGTTGTTAATTGCGTTGTAAAGTGTCTAAGCATGGTTTCGGGTTCCACAACGGTTCCCGGGGCGAAAAGTGATGAAAAGAGTCAGTGGGGGGTAGGTGGGGGTAGGGGACCCGCCACCTACCCGCGGCATTCTCGGGCAGCTCCGGCAGCGGGTAGCCGGCGGGCGGGCAGCTGCCCGCCGGGCACCCGCTGCCCGGAACAGTGGCAGCCGGCGGTGGACCCCCACCCACCGGCTACCCGCTGGAAAGTACCCTACCTCGGGCTCCCGGTTTCCCCGTTTGATGTTTCCCCGATTCCCGTGGTGTCCCAACAGACCCCGTTGTCGTGCCTATGTCTAGTTTGATGTTTCGGGTACCGTTCGTAGGTTTATGAGTCTGTTATATCGCATGCTAGATGAATTGGTATCCCGTTGACCTAGGTGAAGGAAGTATGAACCCCTTAGGACTATTCTTAGTATGTGATGGATCACGCATAGGTTTGTTATACGCTTTATCCCCCTTCCCGATGTGTAACGTGGGTTGCATGTGCTTGCTATGTGTTATGTGTGTGTGCTACCCCAATTCGGTTGCGATCGGATTGGTTATCCTGAGCTGCGGTTCAGAAGCTGGCTGCGGTCAGATTGGTATTCCTGGCTGCGGTCAGATGACATTCTCTTGGGCTGCGGTCCACCGTTTGGTTGCGATCAAACGTTTCTATACGAGCTGCGGTTCGTCCTTTATCCTGACTGCGGTCAGATGACACTCTCTTGGGCTGCGGTCCACTGTTTGGTTGCGATCAAACATTATGATGAGCTGCGGTTCATCGGTCGGTTGCGATCGACCTCCCCGTGTTGCGATACGGGGCATGGTGCTGCGGGGCCGTGTCAGAGCTATATGCGCTGACCCTCATGTATGGGCATGCGATTGGTCCTGTGGCGCCAACAAAGTGTGTTATGTGTTGTGACATGGACGAGTTGTGATTACGAGTGTCTTGGGGGATGTGACTATGGGACTTATATTGGGGATTGTTCATGTTGGGTTACGATCATTGATTATGCTTTGCCTTATCTGCCTTATCTGTTGTGAACTGCATATGCTCGTTATAACTGTTGCTTGCGTCTGGCCTTATCTGGATAAAACCTATCGAATATCTGGCTCCGTCCCTGGATAAAGTGATGTGACATTTGGAAGGACACAATAAGCATTCACTAGTTCATACAGATTTTAGAAAGACTAAGGTTGTGTTTGGTTTAGGGGTTTAGCTATTCGAAATGGAAATCAAAGTCATTATTATTGTTTAGTCGATAGGTTTTTAGAACACTATTATGAGATTTGATTACCCCTTAATTAGAAAACTCATTCCCTAATAAAATAAGGGTTTCATTCCATTATTTTCTTTTTAATTGGTAATTTGATTTTTAAGTTTAGATTAGTGCTTTTAGATTTTTTATTTTATTTTATTTTTTTGTTCATAGTGATGTTTTGGATGTCTTTATATTAAAATAATTTGTCTTGATTTTTTGTAATTGTATTTTTAAAACATTTATTCCCATTATAGGATCATACATAATCAAACAACAATAATGATAATCATTCAAATTTCACCCTACTACCAAACATGCAAAATACTTTCACCAAAACTCATTACCATTACAAAATATTTGATTCACATTCCGATTCCAATTTTCATGTGCGAACCAAACACACCCTAAATCTCTTGTGCGTTCGGAAGGAAAATATACAATTCAGCACCCTGTATCCTTTTACTGAACAAGAAAGATTGATTTCATCAACACCATATTTTTTTTCTTTTTCTTTTTTCAGCCGTCTGGCTTGTTAGAGTTCTATCTTGGAGGAATGATGCATTATGTCATTATTGAAAATAAAAATTCTTATATTTTTAACTTTTTTATAAAGCACAACAAAATAGGTCCATTCCCTTTGGCATATTTGTAGATAACTAGCTAGCAACCATAAGATTAATTCAAAACCAAAAAAGGGTAGTGTTCTCGAAGATTCAACTAGTAAGGATACTCGAGTTAACCATTAGTACATTACAAAATATTGAACTCAAAGAGTGAATCAAGGAGATGCATATATTAATTCAACAAAAATATAATAAGATGCTTATATGTAAACAATTTTTGCTTTCTTTGATGCACGAGGAAAATGAAAAAACTTTTGCATGATTTCAAACTCCTCATTGGAATCAAACTCCATATGGCGAATAATGACAACCTTTTCAAGTGCGGGAAAGCAAGCAAGTAGCACCTCGATGAATTGCAATTCAAACCTTGACCCATTGAATAATCTAAGCTTAAAAGTGTGAAGCATTTTAAGCACTTTAGCTGCACTTTGAAGTTCCTCCCAAAGTATAGATCTAGAGATTTCTGCATAAAACTTCAAAAAAAAAAAAAAAAGCCTCAATCAATTCATCTTTTACACCGGTATAACCTTGTATTAAGTAATGCGAAACAATAATAGAACAAGTAGAATTTCATTAAATAATCTATCAATGAAAATGAAGATTACGTATAAATGATATATGTCAAGCTTGCGTAATTTCGGACATATTAGTAATGAATGAATAAATGAAGAGAAGTCATCATCATAAAGAACATTGACATCGTATAACTCCACGCATTCCACATTTAGTTCAGGTCCCCATCTAGTAAGTTCGCTGGCAAAAAGCTTGGAAACAAAAAGATATATAAAACGGATTAGTTCATAAAATATATTTCAAATAAATAATAGTCCGCAAAAAATAAGGAAGAAAGTACTGGCTAATATACCTTGAAAGGCTTGAAATTGAAATCCAAACAAAGAGTATGAATAAATGACAAGTCCAAGCTAACCGGGAGAATAGGAACATAATCGTCGATATCGTCATCATTGCAATAATACTGGAGTGTTAAACTGCCAAGCCTGGGAGCCTTAATGTTGAAATATGATGTATTTACACAATTGTTGAATGAAAGAGTCTCAAGCATAGGAACATCTATAACACAATTCATATTAATAGCACTAAAGATAACGACATCAAAACTAAGTGAAGTGACATTCGGAAATACGAAAGGGGCATTTATTGTTGGTGGAAATATTACTCCGCAGAGATCCAACCTCTTGAGAGTTGAGCAAGATAATATGCAATTTGGGAGCCCGAAGCATCTATTTGGACCAAACTCTGTTCGAAAAGTAAAGTTCATTTCTTCAACACCTTTTTGAGTGATAAAAAGGAACCATTGATCGAAGTCAAATTTTCGAGAACCATGCGTATCACTCATGATTGGTGAGTCACAATCAAAAACCAAGGCAAATTTCCGAATAGGTCCATGGTGCCGCATGAGAACTTTGTTGATTACATACATACAGGTTGATGTGCGATTATAACTGCCAGAATATTTTTCCCCAACATAAGCAAAGAACTTATCATCAAAGTTAAGCTGTGTGAGACTGGACCAACAATCTCTCCAAATGGTAGACAAAACGGCAGTTCTAGCAGCTTCTACGATCGGCAAAAATCCCAAAATATTGTCAAGTATTTCTATAGGAAGTTGACTGATTCGATCTCTTCCCGACATCATTTACATAACTTCAACATATGCAATTTAAAGAAGAAACAAATTAAAGTTAAAACAATATCCTAAAATGAGTGCACTTGGTGATACCGCGATAGCAATTAAATTGCAACACAAAAGGATGAAAAATTGCAGAGTAGAAAACACAAATAAATCATATATCGAAATCAATTTCAATCGCACTACGAACATCTATTGAACATTAATCCCTAAAGATTATAATCACAGTATGAAGTTAGTGTCTGGGATTGAAAGGAAAGGCGGAAGAATGTATACATACACACAGGGGAAGGCAGCAGATTGTTTATTTATTTATTTGTAAAGACATATAATATCAATAATCCTCCCCCACATAATTAAACCAGCAAAAAGAAAGAAGAGGAAATCCCAATAGTGTAAATAATAAAGAATCAATTGAAAACTCACATTGAAGGCAGTAAAAGCAACCTTGTGAGCTGAGAAATTACAGAGATAATGAAATTCCTCAGGGAGCTCAAAGGGTGAATCCGTTGCCCAGTCGCCAACAAATTCGACAATACAACTATACAAGCATTAAACAACTTGTGAATTTGTGATTGCAGATTACCGCTAGAACCCTAAATCCCTAATTTTGCTAATTTGCGTATGCTCAAATTAAATACCTCGATTTTTAGGCTGATGTGCGGCGCGAACAGCTACTCTTGAGAATCCAAACTCCAAACCTTCGCTATGGCTGGGCAGTGTGGGCGAGACAGTCAGAAAACTGCGTCGTTGAGTTTGCACTTCTCGGCTCCGACTTCGACTTTGAAGAAAATATAGCGAACAGTGTGCGGTGGAAAAGCTGCTTTATTAGGAAAATATTGTGTGCTGGCAGTGGATTTATTTTGTCCGCAGAATTTTGATTAAGGTTTGAATTAGGAAAAGGATTAATATTTGATGCACCTATAGACGCTTTACATCGGCGGTGAAGGAGGAGATGACACATCATTAAAAATAAATTCAATATTAATCGGATCTTTTTTTACAAAATATCTACGACTTGTATTTTTTTTTAAGAAACTCTTTTATTTCTAATTAACAAAATATATCTATTTTTCTAAAAACATACTTATTACTTACTAATTATCTAATTATTAATAATTTTGAATTAATATTAATATCCCATCCAACCCAACCCGTTAAAGCAATTTTATTTTATTTTGAAAATCTGTTAAAAGCATTCTAATAAACAAATAAATTCCTATTCTTTTTCTGGACACTAAAATTAAAGAATTCTAAATTAAGAATTGTAATTGATATTGTTAGAAAATAATTAAGTTCTATGGCTCAAAATCCATTCCACTCACCATGATGCACCACATGCTGCTGTCCACCCACGTCGCATGCATACAGTAGCCTCCTCATTGCACGTCCCGCCGGAAGTGGTGCCTTTCCTCAATGAGCATGCCGTATTTATCTCCTTCTTTCAATTGTATAAATAGCTCATGTTTCTTTGTTATCAATGCATCAATATTGAATTCATTCTTTCTTCTTTCTTTTTTGTCCCCACGTAGAATACATATATATTTATATATATATTTGTTTTCTTTATACTCTTTTAGAGTTTAATATATATATATTATATTTTCCCAATTTATTAATTTCCTACTTTTGTCATTTATATATTTTCCTATTATTCAACTTCTATAATTCTCAATTTTCGATTCTTCGCTTCCGCATTATTCCGCTATATTCCTAACAAGTGGTATCAGAGCGGTTTAATTGAGAGTTATTTTCAAAGATGTCAACTGTTACCAAGTTCGATATCGAGAAGTTCGACGGGAAAATTAGCTTTTCTATCTGGAAGGTTCAGATGGAAGCCGTTCTAACCCAGAACGGTTTGAAGAAAGCGCTAGCTGGGAAGAAGAAGAAACCGGCTACAATGACAGATGTAGATTGGGAAGATCTGGATGACAAGGCACGTTCAACCATTCTTTTGTGTCTGTCTAAAGAAGTTCTACGTGAGGTAGTAAGTGAGACGACTGCGTCAGATTTATGGTCCAAGCTGGATACGCTTTATATGGCCAAAACTCTGGCGAACACGTTGCGTTTGAAGGAGCGTCTGTACACAATCCGTATGACGGAAGGTACTTCTATTAAATCTCACTTGGATGAATTCAATTCTATTTTATTGGACTTGGAAAATATTGATGTTATAATTGAAGATGAGGATCGCGCTGTTTTATTGCTTGTCTCTCTCCCTAATTCATACAAGCATTTCAAAGAAATTATGCTGTATGGTAATAGTAGTGATACCCTTACTTTCGACAATGTTAAGTCGAACTTATTGTCCAAAGAAAAGTTTGACTTTGAAATTAAGTCTGAGGACAAAGGTGAAGGCTTGACTGTAAGGGGTCGTTCACTTGAATCAGGGAATAGCAATAAAAATTCTAGATCCAAGTCCAAAGGACATAAGTCCAACAAATCCTGTAAGTACTGCAAGAAGCATGGTCATGATGTGACTGAATGCTTCAAGTTGAAAAACAAGCAAGAGAGAGAAAAGAAGTCCGCTGAAGCTAGTGTTGTTGAAAGTGATTCAGAAGGCGATGTTTTGTTATCTGTTAGCTCCGGTTGCAAACGGAGCGAAACCGAGTGGATTTTGGACTCTGGTTGTACATTCCACATGTGTCCGCACAAAGATTGGTTCATTTCTCTGGAACCGGTTGATGGTGGAGTTGTCTTGTTGGGTAATGATACCCAATGCAAGGTTAGTGGAATTGGAAGTGTTCAGATTAAAACTCATGATAACGTTGTCAGGACTCTTACCAATGTCCGGTATATTCCTGATTTGAAACGCAATCTGATATCATTGGGCACCTTGGAATCTCTGGGGTACAAGTACATAGATGAAGGTGGAGTTTTGAAGGTCATAAAAGGCTCTGTTGTTCTCATGAAAGCTTCTCGTTCTGGAAGCTTGTATGTCTTGCATGGCAGTACTGTGACAGGTTCAGTAGCGGTATCCTCATCGGTGTCTGATGCGAATCTCACTCAGTTATGGCATATGCGTCTGGGGCATATGAGTGAGAAAGGCATGCATCTCCTGAGCAAGAAAGGCCTCCTTGGTGATTCAGGTACGGGTAAATTACAATTTTGTGAGCATTGTGTTTTTGGGAAACAAAAGAGGGTTAGTTTCTCTACTGCTACACACCGTACCAAAGATGTATTGGAATATATACATTCCGATTTATGGGGACCGACTAAATTCCAGTCTATGGGAGGCTGTAGATATTTCATGTCTATTATTGATGACTTTTCTCGTAAAGTCTGGGTCTATTTCCTGAAACATAAAAATCAGGCATTTTCTATTTTCAAGAAGTGGAAAATACTTGTTGAGACTCAGACAGGTAAAAAAGTCAAGAAGCTCAGGACAGACAATGGCTTGGAGTTCTGTGAGTCAGATTTCAATGACTTTTGTGCGGCAAATGGAATCGCTAGGCACAAGACCTTGCCTGGTAAACCCCAGCAGAATGGTGTTGCCGAACGTTTGAACAGGACTCTATTGGAAAGAGCTCGTTGTATGCTCTCTAATGCTGGGTTATGGAAACGGCGTGATTTTTGGGCCGAGGCCGTTTCTACTGCTTGCTATTTGGTAAATAGATCTCCGCATTCATCCCTTGATTTCAAAATTCCAGAAGAAGTTTGGTCAGGTAATCCTGTTGACTACTCTATCTTAAGAGTTTTTGGATGTCCTGCATATGCTCATTCTAGTACGGGTAAATTAAACCCAAGAGCTGTCAAATGCATTTTCCTTGGTTATGCTTCTGAGTCAAAAGGGTATCGTCTATGGTCTCCTGATTCTCAGAAAATCATTCTGAGTCGAGATATCACTTTTGACGAAAATGCACTACTTTCTTCTGGAAAAGTTCCCAGTACAGGTGAGACGCAGAGTACTGGTGAGAAGGTGGAGTTTGAGTTCAGGCCTATTGATAGTGTTACTACTGCTGACGGTAATACTAAAGATGATGCATCTACTAGCACAACACCTCTCGTCGAGCCACAACGAGAGTATTCCATTGCTATGGATCGGCCTAGGAGGACAATCAAGAAACCTGCTAGGTATGCTAGTGATGATGAAACCAACATGGTTGCTTATGCTCTTTCAGTCGCATAGGAAGTTGATGGTGATCCATCCTGCTATTCTGAAGTTTTTCCTATTGCCAAGTTCAATCAGTGCTTGAGTTTAGTCGACTGTTCCAGTTATTAATTTCAAAATGGATTTGATCCAAGGTGGAGATTGTTAGAAAATAATTAAGTTCTATGGCTCAAAATCCATTCCACTCACCATGATGCACCACATGCTGCTGTCCACCCACGTCGCATGCATACAGTAGCCTCCTCATTGCACGTCCCGCCGGAAGTGGTGCCTTTCCTCAATGAGCATGCCGTATTTATCTCCTTCTTTCAATTGTATAAATAGCTCATGTTTCTTTGTTATCAATGCATCAATATTGAATTCATTCTTTCTTCTTTCTTTTTTGTCCCCACGTAGAATACATATATATTTATATATATATTTGTTTTCTTTATACTCTTTTAGAGTTTAATATATATATATTATATTTTCCCAATTTATTAATTTCCTACTTTTGTCATTTATATATTTTCCTATTATTCAACTTCTATAATTCTCAATTTTCGATTCTTCGCTTCCGCATTATTCCGCTATATTCCTAACAGATATGTAAATTATTATATTTATAATTATGAATTTTTAAATTTTAATTAACAAAAACCATCGAATTTCCTATATCTATCTTAACTCCTAAATCTATTTAAACCCCTAAACTCTTAAATTTAAATTACAACCTTAGTCACTATTAGAAACAATTGCAACATCTTGTAAGAATATATATTCATCAAAATCCAAATTTTCTCTTTCAAAAGAACCCAACCTGTCAATCTTTTCTCTTTGTCAGAATCTTTATCTGTATTATTAGTAAAGAGTTCTTTTCGGTAAGTTGTTGTTTATATCTATTTTTTTATTGTTGAAATTATCTTTTAAGCTATTGATTTTTATTTTATTTTATTTTTTTAATTTGTAAACTCTAAAAATCTATACTTTAATTTTGATATAAAGTGGAAAGGTTGAGTTTGTAACTTGATTTATGGGTTTTGGGTTTTAAATTTTAAGAGCATAATATGCATAATTTTGTTAGTGGCTAAGAATGATGATCGAACATTGTAATGACTATATTGTTCATCTCTCATATGTTTTCTCTTTTTACTATTTTTCTGCTTGGTGACAATAATCTTTAACCTAGAATATACTACTATTCATGGGTTTACTTGTGTTCTAATCCCTTTATATATTTCTTTATAGATTAATAATGGCTACTTTCCATGATAAAGACCATAATATAGTCGAAATTGAAGATCATGGTTGTGAAATTACTACAGAATTGAGTGAAAGCAATCATGATGAATTGGTGAATAATGGTGAATTTAATATAGGTGAGATCGAACAAAATGTCAATGCGGATGCGAAGAGTGATGTGAATAATGACGCAATAGAGTTATGTATTGGAATGGAGTTTCAATCACTAGATGATGCTTTAATGTGCTATACTAATTATGCAAAATATGAAGGTCTTGGAATTCGCAAAAGCCGCATAGTAAAGTCTAGAAAGAATCAAATGGTTATTGGACAAGAGTTTGTTTGTTCAGCTATGACATCCAGTTCCGTAATCCCTCTGTAGAACGGTTAAGCTTCCATCTGCCGAATGAACAAAGCATTGTTTTTTATGATGACTTATCTATTGAGAATGTGCTTGAAAGACAAACAATTAAGAGTATGTTTTTAGCATGGTTTGAAGCTAATAAGAGGTATCCCCGAGCTAGGGAATTGACCAATAGAGAAATGCCTCATTGTTTCGTGTGGAAAAGAAAATAACGTCAATGGCAACATAAATATTTTTTGCACGGTAACCTTGCTTTGAACAAACAAACTCTTGTCCAATAACCATTTGATTCTTTCTAGACTTTACTATGCGGCTTTTGCGAATTCCAAGACCTTCATATTTTGCATAATTAGTATAGCACATTAAAGCATCATCTAGTGATTGAAACTCCATTCCAATACATAACTCTATTGCGTCATTATTCACATCACTCTTCGCATCCGCATTGGCATTTTGTTCGATCTCACCTATATTAAATTCACCATTATTCACCAATTCATCATGATTGCTTTCACTCAATTCTGTAGTAATTTCACAACCATGATCTTCAATTTCGACTATATTATGGTCTTTATCTTGGAAAGTAGCCATTATTAATCTATAAAGAAATATATAAAGGGATTAGAACACAAGTAAACCCATGAATAGTAGTATATTCTAGGTTAAAGATTATTGTCACCAAACAGAAAAATAGTAAAAAGAGAAAACATATGAGAGATGAACAATATAGTCATTACAATGTTCGATCATCATTCTTAGCCACTAACAAAATTATGCATATTATGCTCTTAAAATTTAAAACCCAAAACCCATAAATCAAGTTACAAACTCAACCTTTCCACTTTATATCAAAATTAAAGTATAGATTTTTAGAGTTTACAAATTAAAAAAATAAAATAAAATAAAAATCAATAGCTTAAAAGATAATTTCAACAATAAAAAAATAGATATAAACAACAACTTACCGAAAAGAACTCTTTACTAATAATACAGATAAAGATTCTGACAAAGAGAAAAGATTGACAGGTTGGGTTCTTTTGAAAGAGAAAATTTGGATTTTGATGAATATATATTCTTACAAGATGTTGCAATTGTTTCTAATAGTGACTAAGGTTTTAATTTAAATTTAAGAGTTTAGGGGTTTAAATAGATTTAGGAGTTAAGATAGATATAGGAAATTCGATGGTTTTTGTTAATTAAAATTTAAAAATTCATAATTATAAATATAATAATTTACATATCAATTACAATTCTTAATTTAGAATTCTTTAATTTTAGTGTCCAGAAAAAGAATAGGAATTTATTTGTTTATTAGAATGCTTTTAACAGATTTTCAAAATAAAATAAAATTGCTTTAACGGGTTGGGTTGGATGGGATATTAATATTAATTCAAAATTATTAATAATTAGATAATTAGTAAGTAGCCAAGCACCTTGTGCTCAGATGGCATGTAGTGACCTCTCCCATGTGGGAAGTCATGAGATCGAGCCTCAGTGGAGGCGTTGTTGACTCTTTGTGCTTCATTAGGTTGAGAAAGTATATTTGAACAGATACTACAATGTAATAGAGTCAGTAACATTCAAAAAAAAAAAAGAGAGTTTCTTAAAAAAAAATACAAGTCGTAGATCTTTTGTAAAAAAAGATCCGATTAATATTGAATTTATTTTTAATGATGTGTCATCTCCTCCTTCACCGCCGATGTAAAGCGTCTATAGGTGCATCAAATATTAATCCTTTTCCTAATTCAAACCTTAATCAAAATTCTGCGGACAAAATAAATCCACTGCCAGCACACAATATTTTCCTAATAAAGCAGCTTTTCCACCGCACACTGTTCGCTATATTTTCTTCAAAGTCAAAGTCGGAGCCGAGAAGTGCAAACTCAACGACGCAGTTTTCTGACTGTCTCGCCCACACTGCCCAGCCATAGCGAAGGTTTGGAGTTTGGATTCTCAAGAGTAGCTGTTCGCGCCGCACATCAGCCTAAAAATCGAGGTATTTAATTTGAGCATACGCAAATTAGCAAAATTAGGGATTTAGGGTTCTAGCGGTAATCTGCAATCACAAATTCACAAGTTGTTTAATGCTTGTATAGTTGTATTGTCGAATTTGTTGGCGACTGGGCAACGGATTCACCCTTTGAGCTCCCTGAGGAATTTCATTATCTCTGTAATTTCTCAGCTCACAAGGTTGCTTTTACTGCCTTCAATGTGAGTTTTCAATTGATTCTTTATTATTTACACTATTGGGATTTCCTCTTCTTTCTTTTTGCTGGTTTAATTATGTGGGGGAGGATTATTGATATTATATGTCTTTACAAATAAATAAATAAACAATCTGCTGCCTTCCCCTGTGTGTATGTATACATTCTTCCGCCTTTCCTTTCAATCCCAGACACTAACTTCATACTGTGATTATAATCTTTAGGGATTAATGTTCAATAGATGTTCGTAGTGCGATTGAAATTGATTTCGATATATGATTTATTTGTGTTTTCTACTCTGCAATTTTTCATCCTTTTGTGTTGCAATTTAATTGCTATCGCGGTATCACCAAGTGCACTCATTTTAGGATATTGTTTTAACTTTAATTTGTTTCTTCTTTAAATTGCATATGTTGAAGTTATGTAAATGATGTCGGGAAGAGATCGAATCAGTCAACTTCCTATAGAAATACTTGACAATATTTTGGGATTTTTGCCGATCGTAGAAGCTGCTAGAACTGCCGTTTTGTCTACCATTTGGAGAGATTGTTGGTCCAGTCTCACACAGCTTAACTTTGATGATAAGTTCTTTGCTTATGTTGGGGAAAAATATTCTGGCAGTTATAATCGCACATCAACCTGTATGTATGTAATCAACAAAGTTCTCATGCGGCACCATGGACCTATTCGGAAATTTGCCTTGGTTTTTGATTGTGACTCACCAATCATGAGTGATACGCATGGTTCTCGAAAATTTGACTTCGATCAATGGTTCCTTTTTATCACTCAAAAAGGTGTTGAAGAAATGAACTTTACTTTTCGAACAGAGTTTGGTCCAAATAGATGCTTCGGGCTCCCAAATTGCATATTATCTTGCTCAACTCTCAAGAGGTTGGATCTCTGCGGAGTAATATTTCCACCAACAATAAATGCCCCTTTCGTATTTCCGAATGTCACTTCACTTAGTTTTGATGTCGTTATCTTTAGTGCTATTAATATGAATTGTGTTATAGATGTTCCTATGCTTGAGACTCTTTCATTCAACAATTGTGTAAATACATCATATTTCAACATTAAGGCTCCCAGGCTTGGCAGTTTAACACTCCAGTATTATTGCAATGATGACGATATCGACGATTATGTTCCTATTCTCCCGGTTAGCTTGGACTTGTCATTTATTCATACTCTTTGTTTGGATTTCAATTTCAAGCCTTTCAAGGTATATTAGCCAGTACTTTCTTCCTTATTTTTTGCGGACTATTATTTATTTGAAATATATTTTATGAACTAATCCGTTTTATATATCTTTTTGTTTCCAAGCTTTTTGCCAGCGAACTTACTAGATGGGGACCTGAACTAAATGTGGAATGCGTGGAGTTATACGATGTCAATGTTCTTTATGATGATGACTTCTCTTCATTTATTCATTCATTACTAATATGTCCGAAATTACGCAAGCTTGACATATATCATTTATACGTAATCTTCATTTTCATTGATAGATTATTTAATGAAATTCTAGTTGTTCTATTATTGTTTCGCATTACTTAATACAAGGTTATACCGGTGTAAAAGATGAATTGATTGAGGCTTTTTTTTTTTTTTTGAAGTTTTATGCAGAAATCTCTAGATCTATACTTTGGGAGGAACTTCAAAGTGCAGCTAAAGTGCTTAAAATGCTTCACACTTTTAAGCTTAGATTATTCAATGGGTCAAGGTTTGAATTGCAATTCATCGAGGTGCTACTTGCTTGCTTTCCCGCACTTGAAAAGGTTGTCATTATTCGCCATATGGAGTTTGATTCCAATGAGGAGTTTGAAATCATGCAAAAGTTTTTTCATTTTCCTCGTGCATCAAAGAAAGCAAAAATTGTTTACATATAAGCATCTTATTATATTTTTGTTGAATTAATATATGCATCTCCTTGATTCACTCTTTGAGTTCAATATTTTGTAATGTACTAATGGTTAACTCGAGTATCCTTACTAGTTGAATCTTCGAGAACACTACCCTTTTTTGGTTTTGAATTAATCTTATGGTTGCTAGCTAGTTATCTACAAATATGCCAAAGGGAATGGACCTATTTTGTTGTGCTTTATAAAAAAGTTAAAAATATAAGAATTTTTATTTTCAATAATGACATAATGCATCATTCCTCCAAGATAGAACTCTAACAAGCCAGACGGCTGAAAAAAGAAAAAGAAAAAAAATATGGTGTTGATGAAATCAATCTTTCTTGTTCAGTAAAAGGATACAGGGTGCCGAATTGTATATTTTCCTTCCGAACGCACAAGAGATTTAGGGTGTGTTTGGTTCGCACATGAAAATTGGAATCGGAATGTGAATCAAATATTTTGTAATGGTAATGAGTTTTGGTGAAAGTATTTTGCATGTTTGGTAGTAGGGTGAAATTTGAATGATTATCATTATTGTTGTTTGATTATGTATGATCCTATAATGGGTATAAATGTTTTAAAAATACAATTACAAAAAATCAAGACAAATTATTTTAATATAAAGACATCCAAAACATCACTATGAACAAAACAATAAAATAAAATAAAAAATCTAAAAGCACTAATCTAAACTTAAAAATCAAATTACCAATTAAAAAGAAAATAATGGAATGAAACCCTTATTTTATTAGGGAATGAGTTTTCTAATTAAGGGGTAATCAAATCTCATAATAGTGTTTTAAAAACCTATCGACTAAACAATAATAATGACTTTGATTTCCATTTCGAATAGCTAAACCCCTAAACCAAACACAACCTTAGTCTTTCTAAAATCTGTATGAACTAATGAATGCTTATTGTGTCCTTCCAAATGTCACATCACTTTATCCAGGGACGGAGCCAGATATTCGATAGGTTTTATCCAGATAAGGCCAGACGCAAGCAACAGTTATAACGAGCATATGCAGTTCACAACAGATAAGGCAGATAAGGCAAAGCATAATCAATGATCGTAACCCAACATGAACAATCCCCAATATAAGTCCCATAGTCACATCCCCCAAGACACTCGTAATCACAACTCGTCCATGTCACAACACATAACACACTTTGTTGGCGCCACAGGACCAATCGCATGCCCATACATGAGGGTCAGCGCATATAGCTCTGACACGGCCCCGCAGCACCATGCCCCGTATCGCAACACGGGGAGGTCGATCGCAACCGACCGATGAACCGCAGCTCATCATAATGTTTGATCGCAACCAAACAGTGGACCGCAGCCCAAGAGAGTGTCATCTGACCGCAGTCAGGATAAAGGACGAACCGCAGCTCGTATAGAAACGTTTGATCGCAACCAAACGGTGGACCGCAGCCCAAGAGAATGTCATCTGACCGCAGCCAGGAATACCAATCTGACCGCAGCCAGCTTCTGAACCGCAGCTCAGGATAACCAATCCGATCGCAACCGAATTGGGGTAGCACACACACATAACACATAGCAAGCACATGCAACCCACGTTACACATCGGGAAGGGGGATAAAGCGTATAACAAACCTATGCGTGATCCATCACATACTAAGAATAGTCCTAAGGGGTTCATACTTCCTTCACCTAGGTCAACGGGATACCAATTCATCTAGCATGCGATATAACAGACTCATAAACCTACGAACGGTACCCGAAACATCAAACTAGACATAGGCACGACAACGGGGTCCGTTGGGACACCACGGGAATCGGGGAAACATCAAACGGGGAAACCGGGAGCCCGAGGTAGGGTACTTTCCAGCGGGTAGCCGGTGGGTGGGGGTCCACCCGCCGGCTGCCACTGTTCCGGGCAGCGGGTGCCCGGCGGGCAGCTGCCCGCCCGCCGGCTACCCGCTGCCGGAGCTGCCCGAGAATGCCGCGGGTAGGTGGCGGGTCCCCTACCCCCACCTACCCCCCACTGACTCTTTTCATCACTTTTCGCCCCGGGAACCGTTGTGGAACCCGAAACCATGCTTAGGCACTTTACAACGCAATTAACAACAACAAGTAGACAATTAACGGATCAAATACGGGAAACGAACGGCACATGGCCTATCATGCTTTTCTAAACATAATCAACACCCAAACATGCGATTTCCCACCCGATAATCCAAGAATCAAAGCATACGGTACTACCTAGGGTTCTAATCACTTTTATATCAACAAGAATACGATTCGTCTTCTAATTGCAAGATTCGGTAGGAACAACACGTAATCATCAAGGATACCAATTAATCATCAAGAACATCATAATCATCAAGAACAACACATAATCATCAAGAATCCCAATTAATCATCAAGAACATCACAATTATCAAGAAACTCCCAATATCAAGATTATCAAGATTCCCCATGGAATCATTAAATCAACATCAATAATAATCATAGTAATTCGCCATTCACAATCATACGGGGGAAACCCTAAGGGGAAATCATAGCTATGAAAATAGGTTTTGTTGAGACATGGGTTACCTCTTAGCCTTAATTAATTCCTTGGCTATGAAGGATCTTTCTTTAAGCTTCCTTGCTTTCTTGATTTCTCCTAAGGGGATTCTTGGAGCTCTTTTGGGGGTGGTGGGGCGTTATTCTTGTGGGGGGTTCTAGGTGCCTCTTAAGTCCCCTATTTATATATTTAGGAGTCCTGGTTAGGAACTAATATTATAGGCTTGCTAATTCTATTCCTTTTGGAACTAAGGATTGGGTTTAGGGATAAGGGTCCATGACCCATAGTGGACCATATTAATTAATTAAAGGGAATCCTAATCGTAGTCTGAATAGTAAAAGGCCTACTTCCTTTATTCCTAATAGATAACTAGTTCTAGGATTCCTAATTAGAATCTGAATAGTAAAGGGTTTACTTTCTTTATTCCTAATAGGCTTAGGACTCTAATTTAGGCAAGGGTCCACGGTTCATGGTGGACCTTTATTAATTAATCAAAGGAAACCTAACCGAATTAAATCATATTTAATTATTATTAACGGGATTAATTTAATAATTAATCCGGGATTGAAGGCCGTAACACGGGGTGTTACAGTAAGATCAAGAAAGACAAGGAGTCTTTTTAATTAATGAGTTTCTCAAAAGTTGTGATGGATGGGATGAGTGATGTGACAAGTTTGTAGGGGTAGGAGTAGAGTCATACTAGGAGAGAGTGGTGGAAGTTGTTTGAAATTTATATTTCAATACACATTTTAATTTTGTAGTGGTGGAATTAATATATAGATATATAAGGTAGCCGAGTCGGGTAAGGAAACATGCAGGTATAGGGTTCTTAATGACGAGAAAATTAAAAGTAAGTAGGAGAGGTTTAGAATTTTATTTTTCCTGCAACAAATAAACAACAACCACGTTTGAAAAAAAATAACTAGAGATTATTTGTTGTACCTGGTGTGGTAGATTAAGCTGTGGGATTGCAAACCCCAAGGGCAGCTCTAAGCAGTTCAAATCTCGATTTGTCTAAAGGCTTGGTGAATAGATCTGCAAGATTTTTATCTGTTGGAGTATATTCCAAGAT